TTATCCGGTCATAATATTAAAAAAATCTAATGAATTAATAAATATTAACCTTATTCGATTTTTAAACTACCAACCTTTTAAAACTACTTGTCGCGATTCTTATCCGGCAACAATGTGCTCTTACCCGTATCACCGTAGAGAGGATGTGTGATTAGTTATCCTTCGCCTCTCGGCGGATTCCATTCCCATTCTTCTCTAACTCTCCTATCACAAATGAATCGCTCTTATTTACGTGGAAACTCCGTTACACACACATTGAGCTTAAGGCGCTAAACCTACACATACTTGGACGTATTAAATTGAGTTTCATTTCATGCGAGATTATTAAGTTTTATTAACTTCTAATGTTCTTTGTATGCAATATGCTATGTTCCATTATTATGTTTTCAGCCAGTAATTTTATATTACAATTTCCGTTTTAAAATCTAACCTGCCTGAACTAAACAATATTAATTATTCAATTTATATTTGATCACTGTTCATAACATATATTTTTAAATGTCACCTTGTCGTACGATTTTTTTTTGACTTTGTTTAATTGTATTAGCTAACTCACTATGCAAATTGTGCCGCTGTAACAACGCGCAAAGCTAACTTAAATCACTGTTCAGTGTATCGTGAATTTAAAATATTCAACGGTCGATTTAAATATAAAAATTTCGGAAAACTTTTTCAATCCATTTTGTACTCCCTCATTAACAAATTGTAGGAAAGTTTTAATTAATTTTTTACATCTCGTAGTTTCGAAACATATAATTTCGAGTTGAACGTAAACTCGCTTTTAAAGTTAAATAGAAAAATGCAATGTATTAAAAACTACGTAATAAAGTTCTGAATTCATAAAAGCAAATTCGCGGATCCTTATTTCGTACCTCATGAGGGTAGTTTTATTTTAAATTAAGAAAACTCATCTAAGCAAACACATTGTTCCAGTAAATTTCGGGCTTTGAATGAATTATGGCTAATCCTATATACATTTAAGCTTTATTATTGCCATATAATCATTGGAGCTTGTTTAAATTTAAAAGAGGACTGTCGGTCGTGGGTTCGAGTAAAGACATTTATTTTTAATCTCAAAACACTGTCTGTAGTTTACGCGAGTAGTCCACATTTAAATAAAACGTTTTAACCATTTAAAACGCAATATATATTAGCTAACTTATTTGAAAAATTATTTTAACTATGGCCCGACGTTGCGGATGCTTTAGACCGTAGTTAAAATCATTTTCAAATAAGTTTAACTAATATACATCGCGTTTTAAACCGTTTAAGTGTTTTACTCAAAATACGTTTTCAGCCATACGCAATTGCAAAACGCTGGAATAAATTGCCTCTTATCATAGACAACGGGCTTGCGTAATTCAATATAGCAATACTATCTATTCATACAATGAAGGTATTTTTAATGGAATTATGTAAACGTAATTCTGCTGGCGTAACTTATTATGCAGCACAATATTCTCCATGATGTGCACCATAATTGCGTAATACGGCAGCTTATTATGGTGTTTCCTTCTTGCTGCAGCTGAAATAAAATAATGACTTATAAGCTATTTTAATAGGGTACATCTTGAATTTGATGCTAGATCTCTTGTTCGAAATTTAAATGTAACGATGGACGAGTTAACGTACAATAATGGCGGCCCAGCTAAAATAAAGACACAGTCATATATCTGCCCCAAGCCCCAAGTCCTAGCTATATTGCATTGTCCTTTATAAGAAAGATTAGGGAACTAGTTCATTACATTTTTTTAAATCGAGAATTCATTGCACAAATAATAAATGGAGCAAAACATTTTCGTACATAAATGTACAGACAAAGATAATAATTATAGAAGAGTAACTATTTCGAATTTACTAACACAGTTTAGTTAAACAACCATTTAAATAAAACACTTTAACGGTTTAAAACGCGACATATTAGTTAAACTGATTTGAAAATGATTTTTAACTTCGGCCCGACGTTTCGGATGCTTTGCAGCAGCCGTGGTCACGGGGAGAAACGTCGGGTCGAAGTTAAAAATCATTTTCAAATCAGTTTAACTAATATATCGCGTTTTAAACCGTTAAAGTGTTTTATTTAAATGTGTACTACTCGCGTAAACTATAGACAGTATTTAAATAATCATCTATTATTACTTGAAATATAATGATCGAATGTGTTCACATCTAACGGTAATAAAGGTATATTAATAATAATTCTAATTGAGATCAATTGAACTAACTCGACTCACCCTTGACCCTAATAAAATGTATAAAGAGACCGGCTAAGACATACTGTGTAAATTCACAATATAAAAGTCGAATAGGTTTTTGTTATATAATGCCCGTATACGACGGGCATGTTGGTAATAAACGGTAATGGTAATATTGGTAATAAACGGATAGCGAGTTCGAACCCTACCAGCTCCAGAATGTGTTTAATCTATAATTTATAATTTTTCTAAAAGCTGGTAGACTAGATAATAAATGAGTGGTGTTAAGTAAGTGAAAGCCCGTATCCCCCTCGTGAGGCATGGGGCGAACACATTTCTGTGTCCGTTTCACTGATCCGTGAGTGAATGAGTGGTTGGAATATCGAAATTTCGTCCAGGTCACAAACCTGATAAAAAAGCGGAAGTGTTTAATCAAAGGTTCAATTTAAATTTCGAACTGGCATGCACATAGAAGTCTATTTAGTGAAAAAAAAATGACGCTTAAAAAAACGATTGTTATTAGCTAACTTCGTCATTGGTTTTAAAGTTCCGAATTTTACTATGTACTTAGTTCTAACTTCCGCGCACATTTGAAAATGTACTTTACAAGCCCTGACCGCAACTACTCCTTCCCCGGCCGCTGTAGTAATGTACTATTCTTTGTAAAAATTACAATTAATAGTGTATATAGATAATATGCCAAATATGTTTTAGTATGTAGTAAAAGTATAATTGTTTTAGTATGTAATTGTTTTCTTTAAAATATTTTCCTTTACTAGAGAGCGCCTATCAAATATTCATATATTTCGGCCGAACTAGAAATGGCACTTCACGAAACTATCGGTGCACATAATATATACATACATATTTCATTTTGTCTACTTAATTTTAGTGACTAACACACTCTAATATACATTTTAAGTTAAAAATTGTTACTAACCCAACTAACGCACATAAGAATTAAATAATTTTAAGAAATGGATTTATGGTCTGAAAAATAAATTATTATTATATCAATAACCTAATACGGCCTTTACATGAGGGATTTTTCTGTTCTGTTCATCAATAGCTTCCACTCATCGAGTAAGTAGGCAGTGAGGTTATACAATCTTTTTAACCTGAGCAGTTGCTACTAAAAAAATACTCCCCTTTTTATATTTACTTGTAAGCAAATGTACCGTTGAGGCAAGCAGGGGTATACCAAGCGAACCAGTTGGCTACGCTTCACCAAGCAAGAGATTGTTGGAAGCAGTTCAAGACCGGTCAGTTTTCAACCTACAGAACCCCACCTGACACTAACCGCACTCTAGCCTTTTTGTTTGACCCCTGAATGAGTTCAGATTTTATAGGTTAATCGTTAGGACGGATGTAAAACTAAGATGTAGACATACAAATGCACATTGAGGAGTAGGATTTTGTTTTATTCAGTATATACGCGCAGAGTGCACATTTAAATAATATTTAACAGCTTAGCGAAGTTTGTTAGTTAACTTATTTTTAATTTACTTTAAGTACGGCTCGATGTATTGGATGTTTTGTAGCGGCCGTGGTCACGGGGGGATGTTTTAAATAAATCGTCTTATAATCATTATAATTTTCCAAGTACTGAACTCGTGATGATTCATTAAATTTTCTGAAACTTCTAAAGATTATTTTGAGATTACTAATTAATAATTTAATTAATTAAATATATAGTCTTGTGACAAAACACACAATAATGATTATCCCAGTCATCTTACAAACGGACGTTTCATAATAACAACAACAATTTTTTGTTATCATTTGTATTGTTTTCTAGTCTAAACAACATCACATCTCGGGGTATATATATTAAATAGATATTCCGAATCGAAATAAGCTACGTTTATATAATAAAGCCCGAGTGACAAACAAAACACGATGCAAAGATACAAAACGTATGCATTCGTGCGTATTGCATTACCCACTTACTTGTCTGTAATAGAATAACGAGCATTTCCATCGCACTAATATTTAGGGAAATTTAATCCATGACAATTGTGTAGGTAACGGTGACATGAATAAATCGATTCATGTTTTAATTTACACCTAGGGATCTCGAACAGGAAGTTTACGAACGGTCGCTAGCGCTACCGACTCGAAACCATGCATACACATATAGTTTTATTTACATTCGTTTAGGCAGAGCGGCGCTCTTTGTACATCGCAACGAAACATTATCGAACTTTTAATTGTGAACGCAGACGAAAGCGCCGTGTTATGTCCAGTAGTAAATTAGAATTCACAAATAAAGTTTTTATTAAGCAGGCCGGACGACGCGTTCCACTAGTTATATACGTACGCACGTGCTTCAAGTGCCGTTTGAAACGCTCCGATGTTGTTTGTTTACCCAAATAAAACACTAAAATCCAATTCAATAACAAAGAATTAAAGATCCCGAAATAAAATTTATTGCTCCATACGATAAAATAGATTTATGAATGCGGCGCGCGAGCGACTTGCCCGTAATATTATTAGGTGCTCGCGGGGAAACAATTATATGCGAACGCGTATTGAAAATTGAAAATATTTTATGAGTTATGCGCGTGCTAATTTCGATATCGTTGCTTTGGTTTTCTCGGAGAAATTAGAAAATGTTTCATTCATGATATACACGTCGATATAGCTACTAAGTATGTGATCGGTAAGTGAATACAAGGATATAGACAATCTTTGACAGGGACGGCTAAGACTGGTTCCATCCAACGTGCTTCTAAATACAATTTATAATATTTTAAAGCATGTTCGATTTCTAAAAAATCTAGGTACGGTATGATGGATTCGAAAATGGAAATGGCAAATTCGCATTTCGGTGTCAGTTTTTGGATAAAAGGGTCGACAGTGCATCTTTAATAAAAATTTGAGGTATAACACCTTACATCAAATGTAGCCCTTGCTTGTATGTCTAAATCTTTTACAAAAAATATCAGATGTTATGAGATAACTATAAAATACGCCAAAAACGTATTATATTTACAAGCTGCCACTTTAAACGGAATATGTCAAACAAAAATTGTGGTTTAACACGTGGAAAATCATGATGAAATGCTTCAATAAAAAAATGCAACACTTTTGTTGTGGACGTGTCGGCCGACGAGCAGCGCGCATTCATCGCTATTGTTTATTACGTATTTTAAAATGGTTAAAATATTTTTTTTTCATCCTTTTTAATGTGGATAACATCGCTCATATCCAGTTTAACTTTTCACTTTATCTGCGAGTGTGATTTTTCGCAGGCTGCATTTATTTAGTATTATTAATTTATTACTCGTTTTTATGTTGACATTTTTTACCGTGCAATCTCTCGCTTATTGCGTTTTTGATTAATTCTGCTGAAGCCAGATACATTGCAGAAATATATGAGAAACGTGTAATTGAGGAGTTTTTAAAACTATGCCGTGTCGAATATATTCTTCTGCAAGCTGCCAATACTCCATATACAACAAATTCGTTAAATTTTATTTTCGTTTTTGGTATTTAGACAGAATGAAAGATCCCTTAATTAATGTTTAGTTTATCTTTTACTAGCAGTGACCGTGACTTTGTCGGCGTCTAATACTGAATAAATTTTATTTTTGCAAATCTCCTCCTTATATTTATAAATTCTTACTGTTACCAACGACGCTGACCGCTTCCCGTTATAGACATTACTGTCGCGGACATTTTTCTTTATCATTCTTTGTATACACAGTTTTTGGGTACCCCTTAAAGATGGATAAGATTCCGGATTTTTCCACATCGTTTTGTTTCTTATATTCCATTAGTCGCAGGATGATATTTTCAATAGATGCTCTAACCAACACAAAAATAATTTTCAATTCGGACCAGTATTTCCTGAGATTAGCGTGTTCAACCAAACAAAACACCTTTATAGTATTGGTATAAATATACAACGAATGATGTTTAGTTAACGTTTAGTTTAGTTTTTGTTATATTATTTAGATTGGAAGGAAAATCTCTTCATTCACATTTTAATTGTATTATATAAAATTGTATTTTAATTGGTTTTAAAACTATAACCTTTTTGTTTCAGGCGAAGATTTTGGAGAACTCACACGCTTGGCTCGGAGCCTCTACATCATCACTTGCAGGTCAGTTCAGGGATTAGTCCACGTTCAATTATTTTATTAAACGATTTACCTAAGTTTGCGAGGCATACAAACTTGTACATTTTGACAAAAACATTATTGTGACTTTAGTCGACAGGGTTTTTATTGTTGCCATAATTAATAAATAAATTTAAAATGATATAAGCAGAAATCGAACCCACAGCGGTTAGCCTGTAAACTGCAATCTAAATCCTCACAAATTCCGGTTGCAAAACATTTTCACGTCACTTCCACTAAACCACATAATTAGCCATTTTTATCACTGCAATAAAAACAAACATTTACTGGTTTTATTTCATTGTTTAAAACTATTAACATACAACCGACCACCTGCCAGTCTGTCAAAAAGAAATGTTACAGTTGGGAATGTTAAATAATAAAGTTGTGTGAAGATTTTGTTTACTACAAACCATGGGTATTTTAATTTTCGCTTTTATTTTAAACTAGCTGGGTCAGCGACTTCGTCCGGTAAGAATATTATATATTTTGGGCATCCAAATTAATTTTTGCAAACCCCGTCATCTTTATAAACCCACGACGTCGGTCGCGCCCTTCCCGTCGTTCTTGCAAGTTTATCTTAAAATATAGATGCATACGCTGCAAAAACGGTTCAAGACACCCCAAAAATATGTATGAGAGAATAATTCCTCTTTAAATGATCTAAGAAAAAATTCCGCCACACTATATGTCCATCTTTTAAGATTAACTTGCAAGAACGACCCGGACGACGGGATGCGTACGACGGGATACGAATATCGTGGGTAACAGCTATCTACACTAATATTATAAAGATTAAAGATTTGTATTTTTGTATGTCATGGATAAACCCAAATATTACTGGACCGATTTTATAATACATTTATCATTAGAAAGCTACATTATCACTGAGTAAAATAGACTATACTAAGGACTAGATTACGATAGAAATCTTTAGAAAGATCTATTAAAAGCAACGGGAGGTATAAAAAAATTGGCTATAAAATGTCTTTCATCGCATACGCTGCGACGAGTATTAATGATGGGAGAAAATTTCGACAATATTATAGAATATATATAATATATAATAATAATAAATATATGATATCTACAAAAAACATCGCGAGACCATATTATGTCTAACTATTGTAGTTACGTCACTATAACTAAGTACGTTTTTACATTTAACAAATTGATAGAAATGCCGAACAAAATCAAACCGTGTTATCCATACCATTTATAAATTTTTATTAAAATAAATTATTTTATATTTTCAATACCTGATGATTACTTTTTTAATTATTGAAATCGGACATTCCATTCAAAAGATATTATGAAATTAAAGTGACTAACTCGACGAGAGAGGGGCAGTGGGCTCTTTACGCAGTGGACGCGAGTGACATTGAATATTTCGAGTTTTTTTTTACACATTTTTATGCTTTACTTAAAACGTTCTTTTCAGAACATATCTCTTTGAACTTAAATATTTTCTTTTGTATTATTATTAGTATACTCCTAGGCCCGCTAGTTAGAAATAAAGCTCTCAACACCAAATTATACCACCACATATACAACTCGACACTAATACACACAGCCCTAGATAATAAATGAGATGTGTCTACTTAATATGTTCAATAATCTTATGATACTTACAGCGGTATGCAATACCTTTATTAAAAAAAAAATATAATAATTCCTAAAAACTGCTTTGGCTGGTATATTACGCATAATTTTCTGCCACTCGTATTTGGCCAAGCACATTTCTCCAAGGAAACTATTAAACTTTAACTGTCAAATAAATCCCCAGTTTAACAACAGGTACAAACAAACAAAACAAAAAAAATACTTTTTATTGTCGCCGCAATAATATTACAAATATAAAATTCTATTTGGATAAATTATAAAAATGGTGTCGCTACGCCGTTTCTCGCTAGAAACGGCGCCTTATCGCTAAAAAGCGATTTCTTCCAGGCAACCTTGAAGATTGAGTTTTACAATAATAATTCGTAATAAGGGTGAAATGCAGGGAATGTTCTTAACGTTTGATTTAATAATTAAAGTAATTTAATTCATTGTTCCTTACTAAGATTACGTCCATATATAGTAAAAGGGCTAACAAAAGTATCAGTGATCCTTCAGCTTTAGATTTTCGACCCCACACATTAATACTACTATTTCTCAATTCCAGTAGATAGCTACCAGTATCAGCTGCAGTCAATGTGGCAGAAGTGCTGGAACACCAACCAGAGCCTGGTGCACAATCTCCGATTTCGCGAACGCGGCCCGCTGAAGTCTTGGCGTCCAGAGACAATGGCTGAAGCTATATTCTCCGTGCTGAAGGAGGGACTCTCATTGTCGCAGGCTGCTCGCAAATACGACATACCGTATCCGACTTTCGTCCTCTACGCCAATCGAGTTCACAATATGCTGGGACCAAGCGCTGATGGCGGTACAGGTATGTGTAATTGCCTATATCCGCTGTGTTACATCCTACCTAAGATATAATCCTTGTTGAACTCCTGCCTGGAACATGGCAAATCAAATCATGAGACGCCGAAAAAAAATTCAAAACCGTTCTTTTTTAACGATCAGATACTGTATATACTTTACGCGAGTAGTACACATTTAAATAAAACACTTTAGCGGTTTAAAACGCGATATATTAGTTAAACTTATTATATATAATCATTTTCAAATAAGTTTAACTAATATATCGCGTTTTAAACCGTTAAAGTGTTTTATTTAAATTTTAACGATCAGTTTGATTTGCCAAACTATTAATTCATTAACGTTACCCGCTTGAAGTCCCTTCCTTAAAACCACCACTAGTACTAATATAAGCACAACAAAAACATAGACATCCAGACACACAATATCACATCGTAGAATACACAATGTTACCTCTACTCTATATTTATGTTATGCGTTGCGAATTGCTTTGTTGCGAATTTTTCTCATGTCAATTTTATTGTTTAGTTCTGTAAGTAAGTCTTGCGGAACTAAACAATAATACTTATTTAAATTGCTAATATGAAACAATCTGCGAATTTATTGTTATTCTATAAGTTTATACTGTTATATGAAATGATTACAAAAGGTTCTATTTGCAAAGTGCATTCTCACAAAGCGTAATAAAAATATAATGAAGGCTCATCGCTTCATTACACGTTTATGGGAGAGTTTTGCAAAAGGATCTTGGTCGATATCGACGACAAGACCCGGCAAACAATTGTGCGTTGCCTGTCCACGCTTTACTATTGTGTGTCGTTGCAGATTTGAGGCCAAAGGGCCGTGGCAGACCGCAACGCATCCTGCTAGGAGTGTGGCCCGACGAACACATTCGCGGCGTGATCCGTGCCGTCGTATTCCGGGACTCGCATGCTTCTCACACAGCCCATCACATCAAGGAAGAAGTCCTCCCCGTCTATCCTCAAATCACGGTCAGTATACACACTACACCCATTTACGGGGCAAATTACTTCCATCGATAAAACACAAACGTCCGAACAAAACGGAATTGGATCTTTTATTGTTCATGCGTTTGATTCATTGCTCACAGTGACCCACCCTTCGTTCTGCTAATGCGAATATGCCTTTGCGAACTTCAATTATTGTAATTGCTGGCGATTTCCATCGCGTTAGATTTAATTAAGATTTCTTGGAAATCTGTTCGACTCTCGTACATTTGCATTAAATGGTGCTACATTGTACACTGGCTGAAAGTTTTAACTTTTAATTATGTTAATGCAAATGATACGTGACAGATTTCCGTGGAGCGATTTTTTCTTATCTTTCGAAGTGATTTTTATCTGTCGGAATTAATTGACGTGAGTAAAATATTGAATGTGTGCATTTTCAGGATGGAATGACCGTAGGCCAGAGCCCCTACCCGGTGTCGTGCGGCAACGGGCGTGAAGGTGGGGTATCACCCAACGCTGCAGCAGCTGCCGCCGTAGCTGCTGTTGCTCATGGACTTAGACGACAAATGTGCAACATGGTAGTTGCCGCTCAGAGGCCGCCGGACCATCCGTCTCATCTTGGCCTGCCGCCTCTGCCGCTGCAGTCCCCGCGCCTGCCATCCCCTCTCTCGACCGGCTTAGAATCACCTCTGTGCTCGCCACCTCCGCCGGGGCACGCTCTCGAACCACCAAAACCAGCTGATCCCTTCCGCCCATTCGTTTCGCCTAGACCTGACAGCCGCTATGGGGAACGCGAAGTCGTAGCCGACATCACAGAGATGGGCCCGCCGAAGACACCGGTCACAGTGGCCAAGAACGGCAAGGACATGTCCTCACCACTCCCAGTAAAAATGGAGGCGCCTCAGGCGGAAACTCGGGCGGAGAACATCTGAAGCCAGGCCGCGGGCCCGGTGCTACCGCAGACCCCGGTCGGTCTGCCGCCGCCGATGCCCGCCGCCTACCCATATTTCGTTTCGAACCGCAACTCCATCGGTTATTTTTAAAGGGCTCCTAGTGTAGCACGCCCGCTAATCCTATGTTTAACCGACTTTATTTTAAATAGCATTATTTTTTTTTCAAATTTAACTACTGTTTAAAACTTGCTGTGCAATAAATTGCTCGTTGTTTAGTTACAAATTTTCTATAACAATTGAAGATTATTTTTAATTTAATTATAACTATTATTTTTATTATATAGTCGTTTATGTGCGTGTTCCAATGGCACACCTAGTGTATGATCGTATACATATTATATTATTATTACTAAATTTTGTTAGAGAGCGTGAGCGGAGGACGGCAGACTTCGCAGCGCTGCCCCGCGCTTACATTAGTGTCTACTTAGTCAGTGGTGTAATGAAAAAAAAAACTGATTTTGTTAAAACGGACTTAAATGTAGAATCGAACCCTGTTCTTATCTCGATGACGAACTATCACATTATCTCACACTCTTTTGTTACACCACTGCGTTACTATCGTGTATGTGTAATATTAAGAATGTGACCTAGATCCATTATAATAAGAAAATCAAAATTTAAAATATTTGGCCCGATTCAAAAGACTGTTTGGTATACCTAATCATTATTCAGCGGATTACATGCAAATATCTAAGACGAAATTATGAATTAGATCTAGATATAACCTTGAATTAAATCTATATCACTTGCATGTCGTTGTGATGTCGATTCTATAGCGTAGTACTGAGTGTTGCTTGCGGCTTTCCCGGAGCCAGACCTCTCGTCACTTCTCGTGCAGCAATTCACCCATATTAGTAGAATTAGTAATCGCCAAATGTATTATAGATGTATCTTTAGCCTGTAGTGATTGTTCCAAATGTTAGGCTAATTTAGATATGGCTCGCCCGAACTCTCCGCATTAACTAGCTCGCTGTCTACGGCTTTGCATGTTCTCAGAGTTTGTCATTCCACTATGTTACTAGATTGCGGACGTCCAAATCTCCTCTTTGAAATTAACTCAAGTACATTGTTGTTAGTGTCCAATTTAAAACAACTCTCGTGGCTTTCGGATCGTAATAAATGTATAGATAAGAATATTATCACGGTATAATAATATACGAATGTGTACCTACTGCGCTTTTGTTTAATCAAGCTTAGAATGGCTCGATGTAACTCGATTTGTCGCTTGACTTCAAATAAATCACAACTCACCTAGGATTGATTAAGCCTGAAAAGTAGGCCAATCAAAAACATACACGAGTCAGCGCTGAAAATCTAGCACGAATCAACAACAAAGATCTCGTAGTATTTAATACGTGTATTCTATTTATAAATGTCGTTGATGTTAGGAGGGAAGTGGGCTTGTCCATGGTAGGTTTAAAAGCACTAAACACTCGCCAAGGGTTTGATCGTCATCTGTCAAACGTCTGTTAATCTATTTCGTAGCTAGAATATACATTTTCAATTAACTTAGATTAGCTGTGTAACTACGTGTAGCATGCTCACGCAAGAGACACTGCAACCAGTTTCCAAGGGCTGTCCTCACATTCCCTTCCAGTGCCTCTGGCGTGAAAGTGATTATAGGGAAGCATATAATAAGGTGTATATGTACAAATTTAATTTATCAGCATCTTTCATACACGGATACAAAGTTATTTTTATTAATAGTTTCGGAGGAAAAATTATATGTATACGGAGTTTCTTGCCGCAAGGGTATACCATGATTAAGATATTGTTGGCGGGTATTCGTTGGCGATTTTCAAAAATTAACATAATGGAGGGTTAGGGCGAAGCGCCGGCGTCAAAGGAGGCGCCGGAGCTGCGCCCGCGCGAGTCTCGTCGCAGAATGTTCGAATGTATAAAGTAAGTCTCTAAGTGGCCTTGATTCTCACTAATGTTTGGAATTTGAATTAACTCATTCGGTTTAAGTTTGAAAAATTTGTAAGTATATAAAAAGACCAAATTATTATAAAATACATTCACAAATCAAATCTAGTGTTGAAACTTTTGGCTATCTTTTTGGAAAATGGTTAAATTAGGTAAAAAAAAATGTTATATAAACGGCCTATACGTTTCAGGTGTATTGCGTAAATTTTGGTAAATGTTACTACGCATATTTTCTATTATATAAGTCTAGGCTAATGTGTTCAAAAACTAAATTAAAAATTTTGAAAAAGTAGAAAGTGCCTTCCAAATTTTTTGACCACAGTAAGTGTTGGAACGGGTGCGGCGACGATCGGCAGGGAGCGGCCCTTGGCAGTGAGCCGGATACCTGGCCAAACGATTAACACCTCTATTTCTTGAGCCGTAATGAAGCGAATAGCTTCAACTCTAGCGGGCGATCTACAAGATCTCAAACTTTTAAACCATACGCGGTTCGCCTCACTGCCATTCGACCGTACTGGACGTTACTATAAAATTTTAGAATAATTAAAATTCAAAATTATTATATAAAATTAAATACATATGAGTATTATATAGTAAAAAAATATACAAAAATTATATATTTGGCCGATGTGGTTATACCCTGACTGGCAAGCGTTAGATCGGCGTCAAAATTAATTCTTAATGTTTTATTTGAAATCAATAACAGTGCAGAGATTATGTGCCATTCGTTTGAACTTGACTTGTTCATATAGAATCACATTCGGTGTTTTGTAGTCATATTTAATGAAAAATAACTTATTTTATTGCTCTGGGTGGTAAATTACAATTCGATTGCATATATTACTGTGTAAAATGTGTTAATTTTCGTGATAGTTAAGTGAATTACCTGTAATTATATGTATTCGGGTCTATCTCTACTATGAACTCGTGTACGCATGACGTTGTCTATAAGTTTAAAAGATTGCGTGTAGCATACAAACAGTGTGTTTACAGCATTTTAACGTTCTTTTTTTTTAAATTGACATATTTATTTTGTGATACTATTTAAAATAATTTCAATGTTATGAACAAACTCAATCAACTAAAATGGCCGCTATATCTGTGTATATAACAGTGAACAGCTATACCTGTTTTATAATTAATGTTATTTATTTTTAGTTAAAAAGTATAATTATTCCTACCGCCATTGTGGGCTCAAAGTAGGTATTGATTGATCTAACTTATGGTTTCACCAAAAAACAATATTATTTCAATTGATGTATTAAACATATTTAATGTGACTTACGACTATGACTGTTTAGCTGTAAGTAGAGATGCGTTGTCATCGGACTTCAATTAATTGCTTTTTTATTCTGGCAACTTTCCGTAATTCTTAGGAACGAAAATCATACAAAACTTATAAGGATGTGGTCTACTATAACCGCTGTAGAACCGAGTATAGCTTACTTATATATCTTGGGGATTTAGTCAGCAAATCTAATACTGTCAGCAATGATTAGAACTAAGATCGACGCTGATGCTATACCGGATCTAGCGCGGCTATGGCAAATCAAAAGATTTTTGTAGTTCCTTCCACTTTGTGTAGACAAGCCCGCAACAGAAGTACCTATAAGAACTATCGTATGTTTTCGTGCATTTCATATCGTTTTTATCTGTAATTATTATTTATTGTCAATACCTAACATAGATTCCAGCTATGTTCTGTTGCTCCTGTATTTTAGGTAAGTTAATGTTTAATTATTTCCCAGTTTAGCGGTAACATTTAATTTATGTCTAGGATACGTTTTTTTTTTTAATTATTTCTCTAAGACATCTGTATGGGTGCAACGTGAAATGCAAACACCAATAAATGCAGGAGTTGCAGACATTTATAGATATTATAATTCATAGTTAAAGTTTAAACCATAGCAAACATAGTCATTATACGGATATGTTTCGAATTGTTGTTAATTTTTTCACTTGTGTTTTCATACCGCGTTCCTTTACTCTTTGTATTAATGTTTGCGAGATCAAACAAAAAAATATTTAGTTAAGTAGATACGCTGATCGATGTGTTAGATGTTGTAATCAATGTCCGGATAAAAGCTATCATTTTGTCACAAAACAATTGATCTTCAGTAATGTCTATTAAGTGGTTGTTATTAATGACGTAATGGTACGAAATTAGTTTGTTAGTTGTATAAACGCATTCTCTCTCATTTAAAACCAGATGCAGTTATCAAAACTAGTGTCCTTGATTGTCAAGTACAATATCATCGGTTAGTATTCCTTCTGTAACATTTGTAGACAGTATCCATGTTTGATTTGTTTGGTGGCAATTCATCTGAAAAACTAATATTATGTAGTATTATGTAACGATTCAGTAATTTTAAGTTCGTTATGTCACAATGTACCGTTGTCTGAATAAATATATAAAATAGAGCAATATTGTCGTTTTATTTACTACCACATCCCAGTAAATTTAGCCCTATATCTTGACATATTAATTTTATATTATACTAACGAAAATTCGTTAAATATATATATTACAGACTATATATTTCGTCTAATGTAAATTGGTAAATTTCACAATGAATGCCCAAAAAAGTATACGAAGAAGTCAATAGTGTCATAAAATAAATGGAAGTCATATTTGTATACCACATTTTTAGTGAAGCAATAATAAAATCGACTTAATATAATAATAAAAGGAGAATTAATAAAAATTACGCAACTAAATACAAGTCTCACAATCAAAATAATTATGGAATCAAGAGATTATATCTATAAGTCAAAAGTAATAATGAATAATGTCTTGTCTAGAACTAGAAGGGCCTATGTATCTTCGAGTGCACAGCACATCACGTGACATTCAAAATGGCGTCTATAGACGTCATCGTCGGTCGGTCCACAGATAAGAATTATTCATCTTGGCTCTATTACTAGACAGACCTCGTTCAATTTATCATCTGTATTATACAATGAGATTATACCACGTGGTTTTGTTAATTAACCCTTTAACGTCTCTAAATAATAAAATAGTGCATGCGGCTCTACTTCTCCCAAAGTATTCAAAAGAGAGATTCTATTTTAATAAATAGGTAATCCACTACAATTTATATATTACCGATCATAATCACTAAAATAATGTTCATGTGTTAACTGTTAATGCACATGATTGCTTAAATATACTAATAAATAAAACTGAAGAGTTTGTTTGTTTGAACGTGCTAATCTCAGAAACTACGGGTTCGAATTAAAAAAATATTTTTTGTGTTGGGTAGAAGAAGAGAAATAGAGCTCAAGAGAGGGCCGAGTGGCATGCTTTGGGAGAGGCCTACGTCCAGCAGTGGACCCAAACGGGCTGATAATGATGATGATGAGTGATGTTGGGTAGAATATTTATCGAGGACTATAAAACATCGCCCTGTGCCTGATACAAGCGAAGATACAGCGAGAAATTAAAAAAAAAATAGGAAAATTATTCGTCATTATGTTTTTCTGAGGCGTACGCTGCAAAAACGGTGCAATAGACCAAAAAATATGTAGAAAAAACTCCATGACGCTCTATCTTATAAGATTAACTTGCAAGAACGACAGGAAGGGACGCGACCGACGTCATGGGTGTTACCCATGCGTAAGTTTATAAAGATGAAGGAGAAAGACGAATTTTGGACAAAATAACGATTCTCGCGGACGAATTCGCTGATACAGCTAGTGTAATATATACAATTCTTGTGTCATAACGTTAGTTATTATAATTTGAAACGGCTTGGCAAGTTTTTACTCTATTCTATAAGTAGTAAATCTCCGTAGTAGGCTTTCTTGGTCAAATTTAACGTTTTAATGTTTTTAAGCCTTCTATTGCCCTATTTACACTATGTTTAATAGTATATTTCTTACTTTTATGATGTCTTTATTAACCACATCCATTTTTTAAATAAAATTCTTACCCACTTGCGATGTAGTTTATTTTCACTAGTAGTAAATTAATAATATTCTATAGAAAGCAAATATTTCAGAGACCAGGACACACGCCAAGAGCGTGCGTCGATATGAAATTAAAAACAATTTAATTCGAAAGTAATTGATTTATTCAATGGTAAACATACAAAGCAAAAAATTTAGAATAAAAAAAAATACATTGACCGTGATGTTTTAGGTGATAATTAAAATTCAATTCATATATCCTACAAGGTGTGATAACAATACAAAGTAATAATAATTTCATAACAAATCACTGATCGTCAAATATTAAAATAAACACAAAGGATCGCCGTGGGAGCGGGACGACAGACGCCGTCCATAAAAGAGTAATGGGTCGGGGATGGACTCGCATCGCCAAGTGGACTACACCCGGAACAGTCCATCCAGGCTATCCGGCCGCCCGCTATACTAAAAACTATAATTACTCTATACCTAATCCTCAGTCTTCGTTTAAATTATTCAGCAACAGACGCCAACCGGCCTACGACTTCCAGTCGCTAGGGTCGCGTTACTCTGCTGATTATACATTAACCATATTATATACATATCATAAAATACCAACTACGTTATTGTTACATGCATACGCTGAACTTACGCTACGTTTAATCGAACCGAATGGACTTACATACGTCATAAATTCGCCGTCAAAGTGTTATTATAATCAAGTTACACAAACATGTCTTTAACCCCTATATATTAATAAAAATTGCTGGCCGTCAAATATAATTTGAACACACTACATGATAACTAACATCACAAAAACATGATGAAAACAATTCGACCGGTTTACAACTAGTTAATCCTACAATATGAAATTGATTACTAACTACAATAAATATGTTGATGCTTTGAGAGATCGCCTCGGGTGGTTAAAGCATAGACAATAATCTTACTAGTAAACCATTATGCGTGATTTGATTTAGATTGTAAAAGAAAATTTGGAAAAACTTCGACTTAATAAGTCCCATTATTAATAGGTAAATTGTGAGAGAACAATAGAAAAACAACAAATTGGATTTAAACTAAATAATAGATATGTACACGAGAAAATGTATATAGTTGAGGGGTTAGAAGTTAAAGGATGTTACATTTAAGACGACACACTGTCCTATGTAGTTACCTAAAGTTATATCCACAAATTCTTTGGGACAAAGAAGCATCGAGAATTTGGCAATGCAAGATGGCAACCACCATAGCTTAGATAATCACTAATATAATGTAATGGTATATATTGGTATTGAATGTATACAGGTAATCGTAATTTTAGCTTAATCACCACCGGCAAGTGTTACAGGAAGATCTGTCTGTACGGCAAAGTAGGCACACGACCACGAAACGAAAACCGGTTCGTGATCAACTAGTATCTAACAGTTGACAAGGGATTCTTTCTGTAAGCGATAATAACATGACCACTTAAAATAAATTGAGTATTCTTGAGGTAGAAGTATGATTTTCTCGTTTAAAAGAAAATATGGCTACGCGTTTGATCTTTGTCCCCCTCCCCCATTTTATCGCTTCACAGTCATTACATGCACACAGCGACTAGCATATAAATTAACTTTTAGTAAATCGAAAGTTAACACTCCGCCCAGAATAAGAAGGAGAGACCATAATACGATCAACTCGATAGGTATAAAAGTCAATTGAGTAAAAAAAATAATTATAATATAAACAGGTACGTAATTAAGTAAAGCGTATTATATACTAATAGTTGTTTGACAACTTGAATATGGTGTTTACCGCGTCGAAAAAAATTTAATATCCCAAAAAAATTTCATCAAAAAAATTTTTTATGATGATTTTATAGTCAATAATTCAAATCAATTTGTCAATACTGTCTTTCCAATACTAAAAACTAAAATATATATGCCGACGCCTAACGCATGAATGGAACCCCTGTCGCAAAATAAAGGGGAACGCCCATTTCCGGCCAATATTGGACAATTATTTAGCAGAATTATTTGCTTATATAAAAACAAAATACATAAGACAGGAAGCTAAGCTTTCTGAGTCGGATAGCATGCACAAAGAACTGTACTGTGTCAAACAAACAAGAAATAAAATTGAAAATGTTTCGTTTCGAAGGAGGAGAAATGTTGTCCATCTTTGGCCCACGACAATACGAACAATGGGCATTCCCCTTTAGAATCAGTTTTTAACAGTGCCACGGCGCATACAGATTGGCATATCGGCGCACGAGGCGCCGGTTAAGTCTGTGCTATTCATCGCATCTCCTACAAGCACCGGGGACGTTAAAGTCCAGAACCAGGAGTTTCGTCTCCTCGGTGCCGTTGCGAGAACCCACGGCGCAGATCAATTTCGTCGCGGAAGCCTTGATACGCCAGACCACACCACCAGAACCACCTGAACCCAGCTCCACCAGATTCCTGATAAATTCTCCGGTACGAAGGTCCCATAACTTTACGGTGCCGTCGTCGGACGATGTAATTACGAACTGGTTGCAGGACTGAAGACAAGTCACCGCCGACTGATGCTTATACGGCCCTAGAAAGAGACGCAAAATGGTTAAAGAGGAAGGAAAAACATTGATTTTAATTTAAATCCCATACGCCCTATGTGATCTTGGGGCAAACTATTGTCTGAAGTAAACTTCTAGACAAATAACTTAGTGATCCCGATCGAAACACTTAACTGTTACCCGGGATTCAAACACCTCAACAGCAATGCAATTCGTTAAAGAACTGAATCAAGAATTTAAAAAAGGGAGTCAGTGAAATTCAAATAAACCACATTAGTAAACGCGAAATAGCGAAATATTAGTTAGTTTATTTTAACTACGGCCCGACGGTTGCTTCATCCAAAGCAGCAACCCTGGTGGGGACTGGCAATACTTTGCTAATCATTGCGTCAAGCGCGAAAGCCTTCGGTGTAACATATTACGCTGTTACGCGATTTTTTTATCGATGATGTGAAAGCCTAATACACGCCCACCACGGGAAATAGTGACGTGGAGAGAGTGGTAAATGGTAGTAAACCCTTCTCGGAGACAAAAGCGGTTAAGGGCCACTAAACACACCACCAGCTCGGTACAGTGCTTTCGAGGTAGCCCTGGGAACACTGTACGAGTCTAGCGATACACTGTGTAGCCACAAACCTAAACAATCAAAAATGATGATAACTCACCAGAAAGAGTGTGCAAGCAGCGTCCCGTGGTAATATCCCAAACTTTGACGGTTGAATCGGCGTTACCCGAGACAAGAATGTTGGAATGCAACTCCATTCCTGAGGTCAACGACTGGTGACCGGTTAACGTATGCTTGAGTTGGCCAGTTTCCACGTCCCAGACGCGAATCGAAGTGTCTAAAGAGCCACTCACTACGTGTACACCATCGAACTGGAATAAAATACACTCTACTTATTTAACGATGTTTAGTATTAACAAATTGCACTTTTCATCAATATAATAAGGATGACATAAGTGTAATGACCAAAAGGCTCCATAAAACCAGTAACTATTTATTTTTAAGGTATTTTAATAAAATCCCAAGTAAAGTAAACACTGTCAATACATAAATTTAAATCGTATGTTTAAAAAACTTATCAATTTAAATGATAACAGAGCTCGGTGTTAGGAAGAACTCGTAAAAGATTTAGAAGTGAAGTAATCAACTTGTTTAAATAAAACACTTTAACGGTTTAAAACGCGATATATTAGTTAAACTTATTTGGAAATGATTTTTAACTTCGGCCCGACGTTTTGGATGCTTTGCAGCGGCCGTGGTCACGGGGAGACTGCAAAGCATCCGAAACGTCGGGCCGAAGTTAAAAATCATTTCCAAATAAGTTTAACTAATATATCGCGTTTTAAACCGTTAAAGTGTTTTATTTAAATGTGTACTACTCGCGTAAACTATAGACAGTATTTAAGCAACTTGTATCAAAAACATGGTGATGAAAGAAATGGCGGCGATATTTTAGGTAGTTCTTCTCGTTCGTTCTACGCCCTTTATTTGAAAATTCAATAAATATAGAATTTTGACCTTTATTTGCGTTCATAAGTGTATTGTAGTGTAAGTGTACTTTACATAAATTAATGTATTTTTTTTGTTTTAATTCCGATCATCCAACATGTTTCTAATCATTTCTTCAGAAACATCTTGGACTTCGTCTGGAAATCTAGATACTTTACTCTTTAGAATCTTTACGTTTAGAATTTAATTTTTTTTTTAATCGAAAATAAATTGAAAAATTTTCGACTCGCGCAGGACTTGAACCGGCATCGTCAGCGTTCCTTGCTATTGATCTACCGAGTCAATCCACTCATTTAATATCCAGGTTTCCAGACGAAATACAGCATGTTTCAGAAAAATTAGAAACATGACCTGTGTGGATCGAACCCACGATCCATAGATCGTTATCAAAACCATTAGATCAACGAGCCCTTCACCGTCTTTCAATAATTGTTAAAATGTTTTCAACACACAACGTACCGTGCCTTTCGCACAATACCATGAAACGCACCTGCAAGCTATAGACCCGGTTCGTGTGTCCAGCCAACGTGTGTATACACTCGCCAGTAATCGGATTCCATACTTTGACGAAGTAATCGTACGCGCCGGACACAACCACCTTCCCGTCATACTGCACGCAGCGGACGGCAGCCAAGTGTCCTACAAGCACACGCAAGCAGCGGCCATCAGGGATTGACCAGATTCGTAGAGTTGCATCACGGGAGCCAGAGACCACACTGTTGACAAAAAGACAAAGATATTTTAAATTGGTGAGGCTGAAGACAGAACTTCTTACTTAACAAACAATTCTTAAAGTAACACAGCGTGACTAATGAAGATTAAATAAGAAAATCAATGTTTAAACTCGAATAATACTCAAGTTAAATACTCTCTGTAGTTTACGTGAGTAGTACTTATTTAAATAAAACACTTTAACGGTTTTAAACGTGATGTGTATTAGTAAAACTCCCCGTGACCACCGCTGCTGCAAAGCATCCGAAAAATCGGGCCGTAGTTAAAATTATTTTCAAATAGGTTTAACTAATAAACATGGCGTTTTAAACCGATTAAGTATAGAAATAAGGTTGTCAAATACTGTTTCAATTGCTTAATAACAGAGTATTATTGTAAAACGCTAGCGTGACTTAAATAAAAAATAATATTTCGAAAAAATGTAGCCGCACTGCATTTTAAACTATCGTACAACAAATACGTGATGACAAGTTGATATTTGTCGGCAATTACTGGCAAATGATGGTGCTTAATATTTTATTCTTAATAATAACAATTGCATGGCATTTAGATGCATACCATAACCTTTTCCTTTTTATTGTTTTATATAAACAAATAATTCGCCATTTTGTGCCGTGTGCGTGGTAGAGATGAGTACCATAAGAAAAGCTATTTAAATAAAAATGTTTAAAGCAACGGTTTAATTTTAAGAGACATTCGCGTAAAACATTCAAGCGCGACAGCGAGAAAAAAATTAACAAAAAAAAAACCAGTGCATTGTGTAACAAGCAAGGAACGTCGAATTTCAATCGAGGTTTCTAATTTATCAATACATAAGTTCAGAAAAGTTATACAGTTTCGATTGTCTTAAAAGGCGTGTTATTGTTAAAAAGACTTCTTTAATGACAGGGCAGTGATATGAATTGCTCCTTAGGTAATTAAATTCACAAAAATGTATTAGTTTGTAATACATGTTGAAAAAAGCGAGACTAGAGTGTCTTGGATGTTCTACTCGGTTATGTTGCTCTTTTGTACACTCTGTAAAACCAAGACGAACGGACAAACAAACATATTATTTATTACTTACTTCTTTTGACGAATCTAAATACATTTTTATAATTTTACAGAGAATAAATTATATTTTATTTTGTTAATTTACAATCAATGCACAGAAACTATCACAGCTGGAGAATTCGTAGTTCTATTCCCATTATATAAAAAAATACTTCATTCCTTTACCAAACGTGAAACGCAACGCAAAGAACGCCAGCATTATTTACGTAACGTATTTAATGTAACATAAATTTCATTCGCAAAGACAAAATATCTCATTAAACTTTAGTTATCCATGATTTATTGATTTGCTTAAAATGGTTAATGCCTGTGGAACGAACATATGTTTGAGTCCGATTATACATCTCCTTTGTTACGAGTATATATTGTGCTCTATTTGACCGAAAATGAGTTATTACCCCAAAACCTCTCCTGCCACCATTTATTGTATAATCATTAATAACCATTATGGATGAATTTATATTCAATTGTCTCTATTGTAAAGATATTTGAGTTCGAATCCCGATTAAAACTCTTTCTTTTTTTTGACTGAAATAAACGAATACATACCGATTTTTGTGCATATGCATGCATCGCACTGTAGAGGTGTGTCCCGACAACACGTTTAAGCACATCGCGGTCTTGGCGTTCCATATGCGCAGAGTGCGATCCGTCGAGCCACTGATCACGATATCGCCTATCATTTGCGAAGACCAAACGCCACCAGTATGCCCAACTAATGTACGGAGACACTAGAAGGAAAAGAACAGTCTATATTTAACAGATACGTAAGTAAGATAAAACTTATCCTCCTGTATCATTAAGTCCAACGGTTGTATCATAGAGGATAGACATGGTATTCACTCGATGGACTGGTATTCACTGGATGAATAACTTCACTGCATTTTCATCTGTGGACGGTAGTTTATGACGGAACTGGACGTTTCTACCTAGTTATTATTTTCTAGACAAATGCCAACAGGGTTTCAAAATATAAATTGATTAAAGACATGTTGGTGCCGATGGGGATCGAACCCACGATAGGATCATTATTGGCCGAACATCGCTACCAGTAGACCAAGGAGCCCTCAAACTTGTGTTACATGTGATGGCCGTTGCACCGAATTCAACGAACGGTTTAAAACGCGAAATATATTAGATATCTCATTTCCCTCCAAGTATCCGAAAAGTAGTGTCGTAGTTCAAAATACGTTACTTATATATTGTGCGTTTGAAACCGTCAACTGTTTTATTAAAATAAAAAGGAATATTTATAAATACACAGAATGAACCCGAATATCCAGACATTCCAGGCGGGGTCTAACATACTTTAAAATAAACTATAAATTTATTGAAAAACATTTTGGCCCGGTAGGAATCAAACCCACGGCCATTAACCATACATCGTTACTGTTGGACCGACGAACAAAAGAATTTGTAGCACAACAAATCTAATATGAAATCAATTCTACTCTGATTATAATAAGCGTCTTACCCTTCCTGTTATTGCAGACCAGATCTTCAAAGTGGTGTCATCACTGCCACTCAGTATCCTATCGCCGTAGAACTGAAGACACGTAATGACGTGTTCTTCGTGTCCTCGCATTATTGTTGGGTTGTCGACGGACTTGTGGAGCCAGTTGTTTTGAATTTGGGACTGACGGATGTAAGCCGCCTTCCAGGGGCTGGCGCACCGCGGCAAGGTGTGGTCCTTCTTCTTCAACGTCGTCAGGCCTATACGTCGGCACTGCTCCTTCCACAGCAGGTTATCATCGGCGAGGAATCTGAAGTTATTGTGGCATATTTCGATGAATAGAGGAAATACCATTTTGGGCCACACGTGGACGATTTATCATTGTTTGCAATAAAACATGACAAAAAAACATAATGAAATAAATTGCCGGTCATCACTAAAAAGGTGGTTTCAGCGCAATACGATTTGAATAACAGTTTTATATATAGCAAAAGGCCATTGACACATCTCAAGTTTCAGCGCAAATCAAAACAATGCCAAATTTATTAGGTGGCAGGCAAAATAAAGTTCAAATTACAAGTGATTATTTTACCAGCATGAATAAAAACAAAGTAATTTTGCTGGAGTGAGAAAAAACGTTAAGAATATAACAATAAATACATAAAAGTATCTAATTTTGGGAATATGAAATGTACAGTTTTCTGAGATTGTCCGTTTCGTGAACAAATTGTTAACAGGTAAAAAAGAGAAATCCCCTGGTCTTATAACATCTAAATGTGTTATCGACCTATTTTACCATTGTATCTTAACATTCTTTAGCATTATTAATACGCCTTGATAGTTGAATCGTTATTATTATCAAAACTATTACGATAATTATAAATCTATTTATTATTGAGAAAAAAATGATTGATGGCACTTGAGACCTCAATTTACTTCTTAACTACTACCATAGAATATATAAAAGATAGAAAAACGTACCTCCAATAGCGGCAAGTCTGTGCGGCCCGAAGCAAATCTTTAGGAGTAAGATATCCAAGAACAGTAAGAGCCAGCTCTTTCGGTAGAAGGGATATGAAGTCTCGTTGAAACAATGGCTCAATGACATTCATCATGTGACGGACTTGGCCAGCGGCGCAGCGCCCAATCAAAGCATCTATGGCTTCAATCTTCTCATGGTTCGACCATGTCTGGAATCTGTACATAACGTTCAATGTTAGCCTCGCCGTACATTCGAGCCAGAGAGGCTGTTAATCATTATAAGAAGGGATATATAGGCACTAACATTCTTAAAATCATTTGGTTTGAAAACTAATTTAAAAACATCGTTGGTTAGAGTAACGGCACGGAACGCTGTTGACGCCGGTTCAAGTATTGCTCGAGTAGTATTTTTTGTTCAATTTACAATCGATTTTTGATTTGTAATTCGGTTCTTTTTGACAGAGAATGTAGACAAGCATTGGGGTTCTCTTCATTGAAGGTGAAATTATTTTGGCGTTGATTTTTTACTCGTATCTGTATTTTAACAAAATATTGTGCAAAGTGGCCGTTTTAGTCGTTCATTCTTCATGTATGAAAACAAATGTAGCTTATCAATTACATAGCAACGTATTAAATGAGAAGAATAACGTTCCCTTTCAAATAATATTAACTTTTATGCTCTCCATAAATTTCTTAAATAAACTGTCTAAAAATTTTCGTAGTATTTCTTAGCATACATGAAATATCGATCTCTTTAACGTATACTCAAAGAATTGTAACTTCTTAGCATCAATACGATTTTCTGGTAATTCGATTGAACATTTGGCGAACTATAAGATATTTTACGATATAACCGCGAATAGAAATGGTCGAAGGCAGCTGAGTGTGTGCGCCATAAAGAAAAAGGAATAATACAGTCGGCGCGTCTTGTAGGGCGCAGAGCAATTACGATTCTTGTTAACAATGAGATCGCAGGTATTGTGCGTCGGGTAAACGTTAGGATGAGCGCAGTGAATGGAGGTGAAATAAATTGCGCTTCACATCTATTCAACGTAAAAAAATGCTTTTAAAGAAAAAAACGCCGCATCCTTAAATGTTAACCATTGGAATCGAACGTATATTTGTTACATTAATTTACTTATTTGAAGGATTCACGCTGATGATGTATGAGCAACAATTGCTTACGAGATTAATTAATATATAGAATCGGTGTTAGCTTTAAGATTTTTTTTAAATCCACGAACTAAATCTGAAATGCGATTAAACTTGACGACTTTTTCATCTGTGACATTGGTTGGTAACCTCGACGGAATTTCGATATTCCTACCATCCATCCAGATTTCCAAATGTTTTAGAAAAATTATAAATGTTTTAGAAAATGTTTGAGCCGATGGGAATCGACGCCACGATCCTATGGTTATTTGCACTACATTGGCTACAGTTAAACAAACAAGTCAGTTTCAACTTTGGGCGTTTGGGCAGAAAGCTGAAAGTTTTTATGAATATTGGTAACCCTATAACAATTTTTTGTCAAATATATATAAAAAATCAATCAACATAAAGACAAACGGCAAGTTTTGTAATAGTAGTTCAGATTAAATATAAAATCTTTCTCCTCTAGACTTTCTCTCAGAACTTTCAAAATGTCTATATTTTTTCTGATGGAAAACAGACTTTATGTCCAAATATAAAATGTTTATAGCAGAGACAAAGAATCTTAAAGTTGGGTAAAATTATTATTTTTAGTTGCTTGCGCATCCATATTTTTAAGTTTTCACGTATGCATGTAGACCTAAACAATACATTACACGGAAATAATAACAACGTATCATAATATCGCATGCAAACAAAGTCTTATAAGACTATAAGCATTTTAAACATTAAACAAATTGCGGTACACCTGGCATTTATCGCATATATATTTTACCAGCCTCGCCTATCAAACCGTTTCACGTCAGTGCGGCAAGGGAGAGGTGTAATTTTTGCGTCTGTTGCACTAATTTATATTATGAGAAATTTTGTTTTTTTTTTTTATATGCAGACACGGTGTAAAACAGTAATCAATTTTATTCATAAAGTAGTCTTCCACACTTCTCTATCCTGCCAAACGAAGTATTGTTTTGAGAAGACCGGGGCGGGATTTGAACCTCGAGCTGGGATCTCGTCCCTCGTTTAACTGTTGAGCCATGAACGCAGTATGGTTCAAGTATGCCTAAGTAGTTATAATTTTTAATTCTACTAGATTATAAATTATTATAAAGAAAAGGAAGCGGGTGAAAGTTATGTCGTCACAAACTCAACAGATTTCACAGAAAGAAATGTTGATTAAATCAATAACTCTATATGTACATTTATTGCTATAATTAATGTTGCTATAGCTTAAAATTACCTGTTAAGCCACTGATTAATTTCAGGTGGGCCCTGGGCTACTTCGGTCACTTGGATACTAGTTTTTCCGTTAGTCCAATCTCCGCTAGATGGGGCCAAGCTGCCGTCAGGACATAGCCTCTTCGCAGACTGCCGCGGCGGTGACTCGAAATATCTTTTTCGCTGAATACATAAACACACAGGTTGACACGCCTCATTCGTGTTACGACAAATATCTCCGAGTAAAAAAAATACTTTTGAGACTTTATATTTATATTTTATGTATATTAAGTATTTGGTATTATTTTTTTAATTTGAAACAAATGTCGCAATTTAAGAAACATACTGAAGCTTTAATCTGTATGTAGAGATATTGTAAGATTAACTATGATTAAACAATTAAGATATAGGTACTAGGGTTGAATACAAAATTTAAACTATTAAGATATAATTTAAAACATTGTTATCTAATCAGTTTAAATTTTTTATAAGAATTTTTGCACGAGACTTACCCACAGTCTCTCCTCTGGCTCAGACTCTTCATCTTCTTCATTGTCCTGCACAAAAGTTTGGACGAGGATAGTGAAAAACCAATAATGTAGCCTTATATATATAGTAAAACAAGTAAGCTTATATTATAAATATATAAAGACAAAGGAATTATTTAATACAAAATTTTTCGTGGCAACATACACACGACGGCCGCGTGTCATTGCATCACTTTTCATAAATATTTTTAATTTCGGCTGATCGCACACCTGACCGCATTACGATAAACTGCTTGTTATGTATGGGTTGCAGACGAAACCAATTAAATTGTCTTACTTACCTCAGGGGATGAAATACAAGTGCACCAGGCCTCTTCTGTTACCTCATCATCAGACTCTTCTTGGCCATCGCAGTACTGATAACCCTTTAATAAATAAGACAAATATTTCATATTAAAACACAATTTGAAAGAATCGCGTACGTATAAATATAGGATAGTACAGATATAGAACAGGATTCCTGTAAATCTTAAGACTAGCTGTGCCTGCGACGTCGTCCGCGTGGAATAGTTATTTGGGACAGCAATTTTTTTGCAAACCTTCTCGTCTATGCGTGCGTACGTCGTTGCACACCATCGTTCTTGCAAGTTAATCTCAAAAGGTAGACCTATACTTTCGTGGAAATTGTTTTATGAACCGTTTTTGAAACAAACTCTTCAGCTTCACAACCTTAGTATAGATATACAAGAATTCTTTGTTTTTTTATAATAGACAGTTGTAGACTCACCATTGACTTGGACGTTCTGTCTGCGTTCTTAGAGCTATCATCTAGACCCAGAAGTTTCTCAGCATTCGACGTTGAAGGCACAGTGAATCCCTTACTAGCAGGACTCGTGCTCGCTATACTAGATGCGTTTGAGTTAGATCTACCACTTGATCCATTGACAGCATCGACTTCCATATTGGGATCACTTTCGTTTTCTTCCAAATCCCCCTTATACAGCTTTCCCTTTGGCAACTCTTTCTTCTCCTGCTTACCATGACTAATTAACTTTTGCATAAAGTCCCCCGTACTCATTGAACTCCCTTGGGTGAATAAGCCTGCTCGATTATTAATCATTTCTTTAATTGTGATGCTAATAATTTTATTCTCTGCTTTACTGCAACCCGGAATGCTAAAGTCATCTGACATGAAATGGGAGAACTTTTTAAGTGTTTCTGGATTACTAGATATCTTCTCGCTGGCTTCAGGTAAGTGTCTGGTGGCTTGGTCTGGCTCTTCTTCATCTACTACCATACTAGAACAGTGCTTTCGAACCCGTTTTTCTTCTTCAAAGTCCTGTCTCTCTAAGTCGTCGATGTGATTGTCATTACAGTTATTTGTTTTGCCCATGGCCTTAATGTCATTTTCTTCAGTCTTCTTATCTACGTTATTCTCAAATAAAATTTTATTCTTCTTAAGTATTACGTCACCATTAGCATATGAGCAGGAGGGTTCCATTCTTATAGCAACCTGAAACAAAATAGAATGTTTAGCCTAGTATGCAAACAACAAAATAAAATATGTCTAATGAATTACAATTGATTTGCTGCATAAACAATAGGCAAAATAGGAGAAAACATATTTATGGAGTTTAACAAGATGTTTAATACATGTTCTATATTTGAATTTCTGATTCCTGTTAAGCATCACCTCATGTTTTAAATATTGCCATATATTAACCAGGTCAACACTTAAGAACCCATAAAATGAATCAAGATTTAGCAAATCAACATAACAAACAACAGAAGCTTAACTGCTCTACAAAATTTAGAAAGAATATAAGGGAACTGGTACTGGTCTAACAAAAAAAAATGGTAAACTTGTAAAAAACTAACTTTTACTATGATAAAAGTCAAGAATTGTTAATTCTATATGAATACTCTTTAAACACAGTAAAAAAGGTAGTTTAGCCAGAAGCAAGCAACTGGATTGGCCGATTTATCAAGAGTAAACAAATAATTAAACTTCATAAAGCAATCTAAACTAAAGGCCAATTTAAATAAATGTATTTACAAAATTTAAATGTGGATTTATTTTGAACTATCTTAAATATTCGGAGAATAATTATATTTTAATACCCCATTCACATCACTCATCATACTTTATATATAAGATGTCATCTTCTTATCTACGGGTTATCAATGTAATTGTGATATTAACAAAATAAAGCAATATGTGTATAATGATATGTTTATTATGTTTTCTATGATGAGTAATCCAATGATTTACGATTGACATACCTATTTCTTACAAAATAAAATGACAATCTTTTATGACAAAATTACTGATTATAGCTTTGGAGACACCCATCTATACTATTATATAAAGCTGAAGAGTTTGTTTGTTTGCTTGAACACGCTAATCTTAGGAACTATGGGTAAGAATTAAAAAAAATATTTTTATGTTGATTAGAGCATTTATTGAGGAAGGTTAGGTTATAGAGCATCGCCCTATGACTAATACAAATAAAGATAATATGTATGAAAGAATGATTCTATAAAAAATATATATCTCTACCTTTTAAGCGTGGGTAACAAGCTTAAGTTTTTAAAGACCAAGGGGTTTGCAAAGACAAATTTTGATACCCACAATAAAGGTAGTCGCTGACTTGGCTAGTGTAAAAACAGAATAATTAAAGCTGAGAAATAAGTGAAATAAATAAATATGTTTATTGTCTCTCTCTTAATAATTAAATAATAAAGTTAGTTTTTTACATGTTTACCAATTTTTTTTGTTAGACCAGTGCCAGTTCCTTTATCTTCTTTCTAAATTTTGTAGAGCAGTTAAGCTTCTGTTGTTTGTTATGTTGATTTGCTAAATCTTGATTCATTTTAATTAAATATCGTAAGACATATAGTTTTATGTACTATTTGGTATTTGACAACATAATTATGTCAATAAAATTCAATTTAAGAGAGATTAAAGTAATAATCTATATAAAATTTATGCATAAACCTGGATTGAAAAGATTTATAAGGCTTGAAATGTTGAAATTATAACACTAATTAAAGAGGGATTATAAATAAGAATAGTAATGCTTAATAATACTGTATTTTTTATTTAGATACAACTTTGGTAACACTATGTTATTGTAACATTTTACCCAACATATAAGAATTTTGTAACCGTATGTAGGTAATTGACTATTTTAAAATAAATTTAATTAAAATGACCAATTTTGTGATATGTGTAAAGAACGGCAGCCGCAAACTTTATGTGAGTGTGCACTTATTTATAGAATTCATATAAATAAGTGCACAGTCACATAAAAAAATTTGAAAGAAATGACTTGTATGGTATTTAAACAACTGCATAATACTGAGTCAAGTAATTTTAAATTGTATGCATGCCCTGTTTTATTAAACCAAATTTGTAATGTTATATGGAATTAAAATGTATCATTACTACAAAAATTTATGTGTAGAAGTGAATTTTTTTCAATCTCAATATTAGTTACAGAAGTGTGAACAAGAAGAAAATGTTGAGTAAATTTTCAAGATGATTTTAAAAGCATATAAATTTCTTGCTTTTTAATCATTTATTAAACATATTTTTTCAACCAGCTGAGGTGCTGGTATATAACATACCAGAACAATATTTAGGCTAGCCAAAGATCCTATATTGATAATTGCTTGGCAATCTATTCATACAAGGCCACCTCTAAGAGCAAACTATACCACTGTCACAATCAAGGCCATTTTAATCATATTATTATGTTACACTATATTTATCTGTATTAAGTAATAAACTAAGTTAAATAATAAGTAATTACTATCAAAGACACTTGTAACGCTCAACTATAAACACGTATTACAACTGTCGAAAATGCAGGAAGTCTCGCCATGTGTCGTCGTTACAGAAAAAAATAACGAGATAAAAGGACTCGGGCCGTGAGAATACTTTTTTTCACTCAACTGTGAACACAGGATTCACATTGCATCCGTGCTAACAAAAAAAAAGGTATGGACAATATTTCAATAATGAACCCGTGTCGAATCAAAAATGCTTCGCAAATAGTTAATGCAATTTAATTTAATACCCATATATTTTCTAGTAACGACTGCAACTGAGTTAGTAAGGGGGTTTTTACTAATTAATTTCATAATACAAAGCACTTAGTGAAAAACTAAGACCACGTCCGCTACAAATACTTCCTCGAAACTCACCTGTTCTGGGAGAACCGCAGCTGTTCCTTAATATGGATTATTATTATTGACACATTTTTATACTAAACATTTATTATTTTACGTAGGACGCAGCATCGCAACAGTTATTTATTCTAGTTTTAGCAAAGTGGTATTGAAAATTGAAATGTGCATGTAAACTTCCCGACAGTCGACATTCGACAATCGACAAAGGTCGGCCATCAGTCATAATAAAAAGAGAAATGTAAAATTGCCATAACTAAAATATAAAATGTTTTTTCTCCGTTCTACATTCATAGACACTGCGATTTAAGTCCCAGATTGTAAAATTGAACTAAATCATTTTAAATTATTTGTTAATTTAAAATATAATACGATATAACATGCGATGTATAGAAACTATAACTACAGATAATATACACTGCATAAAATATGACCACAGGGTATAACATAAACTGTAGATTATATATTTTCAATTCCCTGTGATATTGTCACAATATTAAATTATATTATATAATCTACATCTGTGATATAATATACTTGTCAGTTTAGTTTAATATATTTTTTATATTATAATAAATTAAATGCTCAATAAGTTTAAAATAATAAAATGCATAATTGTGTTCATAATGAACTATGTATTTATTATTGTTAACCGAAGTACGTACAAGGGGAATCACGACTAGAGAAATGACAGGCATATATACTGTTATAGTTTAATATGAACAGGCTATAAATAAATAATAATAATTTATTTCCACTGTAACACCCAAACTAAAGTCCTTTATTAATTCAAAAGATCTCTCCAGCCTACATTAATAGTTAAGGAACAAACAACATATAACCTCATACAAACATAATATTTGTGGTTTATTTAGTCAAAATATTGTTATTCATTATAATTATAATTTAAAGAACTCAGTTGATTTTTGCGAAAGAGATTTTGCATATAACAAAGCTTCATTATTAATATAACTTTACATGATCTAGCTTGCTTTATGTTTCCCCCTTTAAACAGACTAAATTAATACAGTCATTGTAATCAAATATAGTCTCTAATGGGTCTTCATAATGAATAAATGATTTATTTATTGTAATTTTTCTCTGTTTTCATTAAACAATTTATAAGAAAAAACTGGATTTAATAAATTACTTTTATTACACTGTCACAGGACATATACCACAATTCACAACACCATAATATTGTCAACGGATATATATATTTACCATTGAGATAACAAGTCAAAATCGGTTAATCGTTGCATAACAAAACCACGCTTCTTGCTTTTTTTCTTGTCTTTATCCTTATCTGATTCTTCTAATGGTCTACCCGTATCTTTTTTTGCGGGTTTTTTTTCGGTTTCCTTCATCTTTTTGACTTCACAATCTAAATCAAATGGGCAGTCATCTGCTGAATATATTGGCATCATTATAACTGGAATGTAATTGGGGTTTCCACTTTCATTCTGAAAATTGCACCAAAAACTAATAAATGCATAATAGTGGTTTTTCAGTAAAAGTGTTGATGTAAGTAGTAAATTTTAAAATCAAAATAGCCCATCGAGACTACAAGTAGATTTGAGGAAGAATAGCTTTTAGCTAGAATAACACAAATAAAATAATTTGTTAGCAACCATATACAGTTATTAACAAAGAATATTAGGAATTGTTTGAAAAAAATACTTTCAAAGCGTGAAGAGTGGCCCATTAAAAGGTGAAGGTCCATGGGAACTCAACATCTGCAGATGTTTATGCCCTTTGGCTATTTCCCACCAATATATTGCTAATCACGTGAAAGACAAGTCTACTGCTAGTTTCCAGGCATAAATATAAAACATACCTGACTCTCAGAAGCACACTGGCAACAATAGCTCTGTGCAGCGGATAAAGCTTTTGACTTGACTAAATGCTGCACAATAGCTTTTAATCGTTCCTCATCTAGGTTACCTGGTTTTGTATTCTCCCATTTACCATTTGGATTCATCTGCACTAAAATAGGTGCGGATATCTCTAAGGCTTCAAAACCAGATCTTTGTAAAGGTCTGTAAGAGTTTAAATAAAAGGCCATTAGAAATTAAAGTAAATTTGGTCATGTCCTTAATAGGTTATACCATTTTGATAGTTACTAATTGTTAAGGTAAAATAATCTTAGTAGAATAAAAAACTAATATGAAAAATGTGATGGCCATTTCTTTCCAAATTTGGTAATTTTGTTTTATATCTTTATTGTTTAGTTGTTGATATTCGACACCCAATGGGACAATGAACAGTTTGGGAAGCCTTGTTATATACTTTAGAACTCTTAATTGTTTTGAAAACATTTATTATTATATTCCTATTTTTTTTTTAAACAAATGTTATTCTGATTTATAAAGATTTAAAAGCTGTTAAATTAGCAGTGATGAAACTTATTTTCAGAGAAAAATGAAAAAGGGTCTGTGTTCTCATTGTTGATAACATTAATATAAACATAAGTTTACATGTAGGTAAGTACCCGTCAGGTTATTAGACAGGTTGTTCCCTGCACAATTTAGCAACTCTTTTTAAAAATGGATGAGAAATATATAATATCTTACATGTTTGCAACTTTAGATAAAAGGTCCTTGTCAGCCATTGTAAATTTTGTAAATTTAAGTAAATAATCTTAATTTATTTTTATTAATCCATTAAACTAGTGATTTTCTTTGATTTCTTCCTAAATAATTCATATTTTGACATAAATCTGAGTGTTGTTTTTATGTGCCAGTATGATGATTCAAATTTTTGGCTAAGGTGAAGCCCAAGAATAGTTTTCAATTTAATTTAGGGTTTAATTACATTTTATATAATAAATGAATCATTACAAGCTCTAAAGTAGATTAATAATAAAGGAGGTTTATAAGGCCTAGAAATATCCACTGTTGGCATTATGTGATATATGTTATACCTACCTGTACATAAACTTAGTCTTAGAACCTTCATATTAGCACTGAACATACAAAACATTAATTAATTCAAGTAAACTACTAGTAATATGGGAGGTGTGACTTATGGCATGTTATTGGTAGGTGATAAGTTAAAAAGAAATATATGATCAAAACATTTATTTAGTTTTAATATGACGTTGCAAGAATTAAACCATTTTGTTATTGTATCCAATTGTTTTACCACTGTGATAAAAGATCAAAATCTGTGTGTCTGCTAAGAAGCCAAGGTTTGGGCTTATTAAGTGGTCCGCCACCACGTTTTGGTCCCGCCTCTTTCCCTTTTGCAGTCTTCTTACAAGAATGCCAAATAAACCTGAAAAACAATAAAACGCCAAGTTAAAGTTAGTTTCCTACATACTAATTTTTATTTGGGCAAGTAGTTGCGCGCCATCTAGAAAAATCTTTAGAAACTAAAGTGCGACTTGCTATTCGTAATGTGTTTAACAATTTACGATAGATGGCGGTAGCAGGTTCTATAACCGTAACATCTATACTTATAAAAATTATTCTTATAGTAATCAAATTTGGTCTAAATACTTAATATGGCAAAGACACCTTTGCCAGATCAGTTGGTCACTCACAATGGATAAAAGCTGAGTTCCGTTTTTAGTCTTTTGGTTATTTAACAATTTAAGTAAACGATCCATCAGACGGTAATACAAGAGTATTTTTACAACCAACACACTAATAGGTACACGTACGAACAAAATATTTCTCACTGTTTTAGTAGTATTAAGTTTCGTTTGTATATTAAGGATTACCTTGGCGTCTTAATAGTTTGATTATGAACAGGACATTTGAACTCCCAATCGGGTAATTGAAGAATATAAATGATTTCTTCTTCTTCTTCAGCCTCTTTCCTCTTCTCTGATTCCGACTTGGCATATGGCTGTGAAATTGAATATTAATAATAGCCATTAGAATCTCATACTTATATAATAAAACATACTAATATATAAAACTGAAGAGTTAGTTTGTTTGTTTGAACGCGCTAATCTCAGGAAATAGGGGTTCGAATTTAAAAAAATATTGTTATGTTGGTTAGAGCATTTATCGAGGAAGATTATAGGTTATAAGGCGTCGCCATGTGACTAATACAAGCGAAGATATAGCGGGAAATGTGGAAAAAAAAAGGCAAAACCATTCAACATTATGGGTTTCCGTGGGCGTATGTAACTTGCAAGAACGACGTGACGCGAATGAAGTCGTCGGTAAAATTATAGATTTGCACAGATTTACAAAAACAAACTTGATGCGAAAAAAGTAAGAGATGTTATATTTCCTTCTAGGTACATCGAACACCTCTTTATTCAACATCGGGTAGTTTGATTTCCATAGAAACTATAAATTCTTTCCAACTGCTTATCGGATCGTTATTTGTATGCACAGATATAACACGGCCTGATCGATTTGATAAGATTTGGTATGCAGCTGAATGTTTTCATTCTACAACGTAGAAGTTCCGATCCCGAAGTGAAAAATCTAAGGATGTTAATTTGTTGGTAACAATAGAAATTACAATGCTATTTAGTTGGATACATGGTTATTTGATTCTTGAGCACTGCCTGATCCTAAATCTGAAATAATAATATTCCACTTGACGTCCCGAACGAAAACAGAAATCTCATGACGTATGTGACTAGTCAGTTTTTTTTTATTTGGTCTATATTCAGACCTGACTGCATTGCTTATCAATAATATAACAGCTAATGTATTTTGATAAAACAACTCACGAAGACACTAGGGGCTGAAATAGCTTCACTTGGATCCAAGAATCCGTCAAGGATTTGCTGGTTAATCTTATATTTCCTTGCCAAGTTGAAATGCTTCACATCCTCTTGCGTCATAGGAAAAGTGATAAGTGGACGCCTGGAAGATATGTTATAGTAATTGTATTCAACAGTGGACTCCTCTGTATTTGTACCTATTTAATTAATACTATTAGACCAACGAAGCCGTCAATGTATTGCTAATAATCAACGGATCGCGGTTCGATCCCCACTGGGTCCTAATAAAATTTATAATTTTTCCAAAACACGATGGCTTTTGAAATCTGGGATGGTAGGAATATCGATTTTCCGCCTGGGCCACGAACCGCCGTCAACAGATAAAAACAGCCATAAAGTTTATTCGCGTTTTAGTTTCAGTCTGTGGATTTTTGTTTATTGAGCGCCAAATAAATAAAAATAGGTCGCCATCGCGTCTTGTGCCTTGTCAATGTTGAATGCCTGGGGTATTTCATAAAAATAAATGTTCTTTGGATTCTATCGGATTGTTGTCATGTAATATTTTTAGTAAGATATTTAAAAAAGTATATAAAAAGCTAATTTTAACTCCCATTAGGATTTTAACTTTCATTAGAAAGAGAAGTGAGACAGTATCTGAAACTGTATTTCAAGACTCTTTGTTACCGGAAGGGGTCCAAGTAAAGAGCTCTTTGCGGTAGCTTAAAATGCTTCTTGATATAGTCTTCATCGAGTAGCTGGAAATCAGACGAAGGTGTTCCTGCTGAGGCGGGGCGGGGTTTTTGGCCGGCTGAAGGAGAGCCGCGCGAGTCTTCACGCGGCACCAAGCAGATCAAGGGTAGGGCGGCATTGGCTGCGCTGCTGCCCCCAGCGCCAGCGCACGTGCAGCAACTGGAAAAGAGAAGTCACCAATCGTCTCTTTCTATAACAAGTTATTTGTAAATTTATTCGTACAGCCGCAATATATCATTAAGCAACAATAAACATGTGTTATTATTTTGATTATGTATCTGCTATCTCGTGTCATGATCTTTGTACGTCCTTTAACAGTCTACTAGGCATCCCCTTTTCAAGGAGACGTATGGCCTAATTGTGAAATAAGTATTTGGCATTTGTTACACAAAGGTATTTTTGGTGTACAACTCACAATTGGAATTAATTTATCATAACTTTCATTTAAAATTCAAACCGACCATACAATTAACTATTAAGATATAAATGAGATTTAAATAGAACACTTGAACGGTTTTAAACCGATATTTTATGTAAATGTGTTCTACTTGTGTAAACTACAGGTGCTGCGTGCATGCTGCGATGTTTAAATATTAACTTACAGTATTCATCCCTTCCACCCTCCCGTATTTATTAAATCACTAAATCTAAATTCTCGTATAATACATACCCTATTCCTGTTTCTTTTAAACAAAAGTCTGTCTGATATGTTTCGATCTAACGTGCCGAGTGTGCGACTGTATAGTTACAGAACGTGGAGAGTTAAAGGAAATAACCTAAAAGAGTCTTTGTTAAACGATGCCGAAGCATGTCCTTGGCGTAAATTGTCCTGAAAAGACCTCTAACACCAGCTGGGACGATGCTGAGAACCAGTAATACACCACAGAAAAGCGCGTCGCAACACTCAAGCAGAACCCCGATCAGCTAGTCAAAGAGGCGATTGATTTAACGCCGCAAGGTAAAGAAGACGAAGACGACCAGAACAAATCTGGCGGTGCTCAAGAGAAGAAGCACAGACGCTTAATGTGACGACATAAGTGCTTTCCCCAAGATTTGTATCGTTCACGAAACAATGTGGATGGCCACCATCGCAACGTAGGCAACCATCACAAATGCTACCAATACCATCATTCTATTAAAACACTCACCTGGCCATAACTGTAGTTTTATTCTAACAAAAAATTTTATAGACGGGATAATATCATTTTTTAATTTATATTTGAGAAATTATTCATTATATTTACACATTTTTTTTATAATTTTTTATAATGACGGACCTAAGAAATTACTAGCTTTGTGACATACTTGTTTTCTATGTCAGTGCGGTTTTAATTCTGTTTTTTTAAAGAGGTTTGCGGAGAGTATTTATGTGTTCTTCTGATTTGAAAAATCCAAGGTAGTTTTACTATGATTCTATTATTGACTAGTGCCATCGTCCGCGTAGAATAGTAAATTGGGTATCCGAATTCGTGTTGCATCTTTTAAAACTACAGCTGTTACCCACGACGTCGGTCGCGTCCCATCCCGTCATTATTGCAAGTTAATCTTAAAAGATAGACATATAGCATGTAAAGAGGAATCATCCTCTAGTATATATTTTTTGGGTATCTTGGACTTTTTTTGCAGCGTACGCCTTGGAAATCCATAATGATGATTAATTTTCCCAATTTTTGTCACATTTCCACTGTATCTTCGCTCCTATTAGTCACAAGATGACGGCTTTGTAGCCTTTGTTGATAAATTCTCTAATCAACACAAAAATAATTTTTCCATTCGAGGCCGTAGTTCCTGAGATTAGCGCGTTGAAACAAACAAACTCTTATTCTATATTAGACAAACTATAGCGATGATGACTTGTATATCGCGTTTGTGCGCTGCAGGCTTCAGAAACAAAGACTAAAAGAGATATTTGCAGCGGTATTTATACGAGCCATTATGACACTTATTTTCAAGCTGCTAAGAGCTTTATTTGCGTGCATATAAAGCTCTTAACATTTCTTTATAGTATTGTATATAGCTGTAGAGCTCCGCAAATGATACACTATTTATCGCCCCGGGTTATGACTTTATTGCTTTGTGACTTGTGAGGTTCTTTTTTTTAATCCGTTAAACACGAGTCACATATCGTAGTATTTGATTTTATATTTTGTAAAACATTAAAAAAGAATATTCCTACATAAAAAGGGTTTATTTTAGAATCTATACTAATCATTAATAATTTCATTGCGTTTTTTTAAGGAAGGACATACAATAATGGGGGGGGGGGAGGAAAATACCCTAGCCATATAATAAACACCTTAACAAAATGCACTGTCGACATATTTGGGCTTTGGAATTGGATATTCGGAAATCCGCAGAATTTAGACATCCTTACCACCCATTCGATATCCAGATTTAAAGAAGTTCAAACCTGTTTCAAAGGAATTTAAAAATTGTATAGAAACATCCCGGGTGGTCGAAGCCACGAGCCGATGCTTGGTGGAGCCCGTCCACTTAATAAGTTTATTAATAATTTAATTTTAAGTTTAACCTATGCGTTTGAAAACTTTAATATATTTCCCATGTTATTGCACATGATGGCACTAGAAAAATAAATTGAAGAAAAATGTTCAATGTATTTCCGATACCTTTAATAAAATTGCGCGAGAGGTGCATGAAGATGAGGTGTAGGACTCGATAGCTCAATTGGTAGGGCAACAGCACGGAACGCTGACGCATCGTCAGTTCAAGACCTGCCCGAGTCGAAAGGTTTTTTTCAATTTATTTTCGACTATATTTAACCAATGCATTCAGCGTTTAAACTGTTAAAAGATTTTTTATTTAATTATAATTCTATTCCACAGCTGATATACTCTCTGTTAGACACAGCTCTACATTATATTATTGAGTTATATAATAGATACCCACTACCGCTTAGTGATAACAAAGATCAACGGCGCAACGTACTCTTGGGGTAACTCGGGTAACTTGGGGGTATGGGGATGACCCACCTCCTACTTCGGGAGTTCGGGCTAGAACGAAATATCTTTTTAAACTTTATTGTCTTTCACATGTACCTGTTAACATTATGTACTTTTAAAGTTTCAAATTCAATACGAAATACTGTAGATGCCGGGTCAAGTCCCGCCAGTGCCGTAATTTTTTTTTCAATTTAAACTCAATCTCAAACCATTAGTTTCACAAGACAGAATAAATAAATGGATTTTTTTTTCTCCCGGTAGTCGAACCCGGGATCTGGTGATATGGTTGCATAATTATCACGACTGTACCAACTACTAAACATAAGCCTAACTTAGAGACTTGGTAGTGCCATTGAACTCGAGTTATTTGACAAGTTAAAAACGTGTTCTATCAAAAAACCATCGACAATTTCCCAATACAAATTTCTCTTCTCAGAACGAGATTTCGATATTTCTTTTGTTTTTCTTCACACCCCTTTTATTTGTGTTTCGTCTATCAAATTCGTTTAATGTCATTTTGAAGGATACTTTACAGCGATTCTGAGCCATTATGATAATGTGATTCTTTTATTGGTTTTCTTTACTCTTCACTATACAAGGATAAGCAACAGGTGTTTTGAGGCTTTCGCGTTGAATATGTTTTGTATTCCAAGTTCAAAATTCAGAGTTTGGTTGGTTTAAAGTGTGTATATGTATGTTTTGTGTGTACAAAACTAAGTAAGTTATGTTTTAACTCGACGAAATATTTTTTTAGTAGTCTGAATTAATTTCTGTATCTGACATGGACGTTCAGCATATCATTGTCTTTCGGGCTGTTCGGCCGATGAGAGCGACACGTGGTGGTGAAACGTCGAGAACCTCTTCTCGCTCACATCGGCCGAACAGCCCGAAAGACAATGATATGCTGGCCGTGAAAACCTTACACAATTTATTAGACAGGGGCGTTCTTTTGCCATATGAATACTTTATTCGACTAAATTAGATTACTATGAAATAAAAACTGTTGTATACTGTCCATAGTTTACGCGAGTAGTACACATTTAAATAAAACACTTTAACGGTTTAAAACGCGATATATTAGTTAAGTTGAAAATTATTTTCAAATAAGTTTAACTAATATATCGCGTAATATGTCACAAATATTTTCTTAGAAAAGAACCACTCTTTTCCTCATACTTTTTCGATATAATAACTAGGACCATTTTCGCAGCGCGCGCAACGGAATCCCTCAAATATTAATAATTTTCCCCGTTATCTCTACATTTGACTCTGTTAACTTACGCTTTTTTTCGAACTAGTGGTTTCTTAGATTAGCGTGTTCAAACAAAAAAAAGCTCTTCCGCTTAATAGTATATGTGAAATCAACAATGCGTCTGTGGGAGATTATTTTACAAGGATCCAGTATATTTTATAATGACTAAAACATTGTAACAATACAATTTACACGACAGACACATTGTTGATTTCACTTGTCCATACTAATATAATAAAGCGGGAGAGTTCGTATGATTGTTTGAAACCGGGATTCGAACCGGTGCATTTAACTATTGTGCGGCGGTGGCAGTGTATCATATATTTTTCATAGACTGTTTATTTTTGAAACGTCCATCATACATTTGCGAGCACGTGGGTGAAACACACTAATTTGTTGTTCGTCGTCTTCCAATATTTGTTCAGATCGGGGTATTGGGCTTTAATTCTGTCATCGTAACAATTTGTCTAACTCCCTCGGCACTACTTTTAACTTTTACTGACTAACAAATTAACCTAAATGTTATTTTAAGGAGATTAGAACTTATCTATAGGGTTAGTTCAACGGGTCACAATCTTTATTGAATATTTAATACTCTTTTGGGGTAATGGGGCGTTTGTTTTATTAAGCTCTAGTTTGCAATCATTTTTCTGAAACATGTTGGACTTCTGGTAATCTGGGTTCGGGTCACGAACCATTTGCCACAGAAACAGCAGCGAGTTTAAACGGGTTTCAGATTCAGCTTGTGGATTTTGGAATTTCCAAAACCAAAATAGGTCAAGGTAAGACAGCGCATCATGTAGAGTTGTTATATGACTTGAGTATATAAGTCCATGTCTGTCTGTTCTTCCTGATCTTAAAAAAGAATGTTCTAATTCGAGCTGCTTTTATTTAATAATGTCTACGAAACGAAACCTTCTATATTTAAAAGTGTCTATTTGATCCATGTATGATGGAATTATTTTATTTTAATCGGACAAAGTGGTCGCGAGTTTAAAATAGCTTCGATTTGCGCAAATGAAGTAGTCAGTTCTTCGAAATTTAGAATTTGATCTCCAACAACTCGGAATAACAGTGACTTCGCCACTTTTATTTGACTTTCCCACACGCCCCCAAAGTGCGCACCGGATGGAACGTTAAATTTGAACTGTACGTTTTCCGCATTAGAAGCTTCTTTCATGAAAGTCGAAAAGAGATTTTTTGCACCTACAAAATTAGTCCCACAATCCGCATGTATAACGCTATAGCGACCGCGTCTAGCAACGAAACGTCTTAATGTCGCGACGAATGCTTCAGTGGATAAGCTGGAAACGACTTCCAGGTGAACTGAAGCCCCGGCTTCACTCGTGTGCAATGCTGATACTGAAAACTAAGCGTTATACAAGGTAAAAACTTTCCTCTTGAATCACTCAATCTATTTAAAAAACGCACCAAATCCGTTGCGTAGTTTTATAGATAGAGACAGAAAACGCGACTTTGTTTTATACTATGTAGTGATTTAGATTTCGAAGTAGTGTACAGAAAATACTTAGAAGTAAGAATACACTTAAATTTAAAATGAGTTTGTTGCTGTTGAATACTAAGTAACGCAACAAATTATTAACTGCTGCTTTATTATATAACTAAAAACAATTGAACAATTAAAACGCGAAAACTATATTTGAGGTAACCTATTTAAAACTTCAAACTAACACTTTGGCTGCTGCAAGGCATCCGAAATATCGGGTCTTGTTTTAAACCGTTAGAGATATTTTATTTAAATGAATTGACTTGCGTAAACTGAAGATGATACTTGCTATAGAAACTGAGTGAATAATTATAATTCGAGCCTATATGCTGCTGTTATGAAATGTTATCAGTTTTATTCACGTACACTACAACTCACAAATGTACTTGCCGCGAGATAAATTAGACACGTCGGAAAAAATCAATTGGAGCGATTTT